CAGGGCTGAGTCAGAGGCCCACCGAAGAGTCCTCTCCATAGATGAATTAGAGAACCTAAAAAAGACCTTAGCCCTCTCATAGGAGTGATAGAGCACCCAAAATACAAGTACTCTCCCTCCCCTAGAGTGGAAACAAAGCACACAAGTACGAACTTCTTGGTGGTGGAGTTAAAATACCACAAAGAATAACTCCCCAACTAAAGGATAGAGCACGCAAGGGAAAGTTCTACTCACCAAAGTTAAGAAAAATTCCAGCAATGGTGAGTTAGAACATTAAGGATGCATCACTGTAGGCTTGAGATAGAGCATCCAAGGAAAAACCTCAACCCCAGAGCTGATATACAGCACCCGAGGACGAGATCGAATATCAAAGGAAAGTGCCACACACACACACACAGCTATGATGAGCATATAAAGAAGAGTCCCCTGCAGGTCTGAGATATAGCATCCAAGGGATGGTCCTCCCCTACCTGAGGTGGGAAACAGAGTATCCAAGGAAGCTGCTTCACTTCATGGCTGACATAGAGCAACCAAGGAAGGCATCCCCTAACATAATTATGATGAGAACCCAGGGAAGAGCCTTCCAACTGCAGTTATGAAACAACCAAGGAAAAGTCTCCTTCCCAAGGGCTGAGAGAGAGCCCCTAAGAGTCACCCCTCTGGACTGAGATAGAGCATTATGGAAAATCCTTTCCGGGCCTAAGATACAGCACCTCCGAAACAGCCCCATCCAAAAGGGATGAGACAGAGCCCACAAGGAAACATTCACGTAGGGTTGAGGTAGGTCACCCAGGGAAGCTAAGAGCTTTCTCCCAGAAGTAAGTTAAAGCCCAGAGGAAGATTCATCACCTCCATGCTGAGATAGAAGAACCCATGACAGTCCTCTGTAGGGCTTGAAGACAGCATATGAGGAAACACTCACACCACCACCACCACAACCAAGGGTTGAAGCCCACAAATGGGATAGACCCAGCTGTTACTCAATGTACGCCAGAGAACTTGTTGGGGTGCCACACTGGCAGAAGTCATTGGAAATCTACCTTCGGGAATTTGAGGTGTAGTATCCAGGGAAGGATCCCTTTAACCCAGAGCTTAGATAGATTACCTTCCAAAAAGTTTATCCTGAAACACTGCTGAGATACAGTGCCTTGGAAAGAGCTCTCCACTACAGATCTTAAATGGAATACTCAGATAACCTCCCCCAACCCCCCAATGTTGAAATTCCATCCCATTCATCTTATCGCCAATCTTGATATTTTGACCTTGCTGGGCGTGGTTGCTCACGCCTATAATGCCAGCACTTTGGAAGGCTGAGGCAGGCGGATTGCTTAAGCCCAGGAGTTTGAGACCAGCCTGGGCAACATAGTGAGACTCCATCTTTACAAAAAAATAGTTATGGTGGTGCATGCCTGTGGTCCCAGTTACTCTGGAGGCTGAGGTGGGAGGATTGCTTGAGCCCAGGAGGTGGAAGCTGCAGTGAGTCCTGTTCACCACCACTGCACTCCAGCCTGAGAGACAAAGCAAGACTCTGTCTCAAACATAAAAAATAAATAAATAATAAAAAATTTTAAAATCCTGATCTTGCCAGAGGAGTGTGGCAGCACCCCACAAAATGGCAATAAAGTTGTTACGGTGCCTCACCACTGCTGAAACTTTCTAGAAACCTGCACTCTGGGAGTTGTGGGAAATGTACTCCCCAGGGCGCCTGGGAGTGATGCACATGGGGAGGCGTCTCACCACAAGCACGGATCACGTACGGTCCAAGGGCGATGGAAGGAAGGGAAGCCGCAGGCCACTGCGTACCCTACTCCAACAGAACACTGGGACCTGTGTGGGGCGCCAGAGTCCCTAGGAGAAGCCTGTCGCTCAGCGGGTGCCAGCCTAGAGAACCAGGAAGCGCAGCCCTCCCCTTCGCTGACTCTGGCGCCCTCTAAAGGCGGCCTTCGGTAACAACTGTACAGTGGACGTAGGCAGAGGAACACAGAACCTTCTCACACAGCGGGATAAAAGGGTGAATTTGGAGCTGACAGGCAAATATATCTTGTGATATATTTGTCTGGCTTTGATAGCGGGGTAATATTGGCTTCATAGAATGAAGTAGTGTTTCTTCCTCCGTTATTTTTTTGAAGATATTGCTAAGCATTGGTATTATTTCTTCATTAAATGTTTACAGAATTTGCACACAAAGCCACCATGGCTTGGTTTGTATTTGTGAAGAGATTTTAATTTACTAATTAAATCCTTTTTCTTTCTTTAGTCCTATTTCAATTTTCTGTATCTTCTTGAGTCAGTAATTTGTCTTCTAGAAATTTTTCTGTTTTATCTAAGTTGTTTATTTTGTTGGCATAAAGTTGTTCATAATATATTCCTTTTAATTTCTATAAGGTCCGTATTAATAACCCCCCCTTTCATTCTTGATTTTGATAATCTGTGTAGTCCTTTCTTTTTTTCTTGGTCAGTCAAGCTAAAAGATTGTTAGGTTTATTTCACTTTTTCAGTAAACCAACTTTGGATTTCATTGATTTTTCTGTTTTTTTTTTATTTTTATTGATTTTCTTCTACTCTAATTTCCATCATTCCTCTCCTTCTGCTTGCCTATATTAAATACATCAATTTAAAACTTCAGGAATAACAAATTACTTGTTTCATAAAGGAGGACTTAGACATATAGAAATGCTTATGATATTGCAAGTAGCAGTCATTTAGACAAGTTAACTAGTAGGAAATTTGGTCTGCTGAAACCAGACAAGTTTTTTGTCTTGGCCTTTGTTGATTTTGAAAATATCAAGTCTAGTTTGTAGGAAGGTGTTTATTGCACGAGTAGTTTATCTTTGAATATTTTAATATTTAGAATGCCCATTTTCACTGAATCCCACAAGTTTACTTTTTTTCAAGCTTAAAGGAAAGTATGTATTAACCAGCACATACACTATCCTCTTTGTGCTTTATCTCTGCTAATCCTTATAAGAGTGCCATGAGTTAGATACTGTTTTATGCCCATTTTATGGAAATAGAAACGTGGAGTGCACATTTAAGCAGCTCTCAGAGGTTTAACCAGTTGGAAAAGTGACAGAACCTAGGTCTGTCAGATTTCAGAGATTGCACACACAATTACTATATGACACTGCTTACCGCTGTGAGTTCAGCAGAGAATTCCTTGTTAATATGGAAATAACAAAGCTGACAGTGTCCAGGATAATTGGCATCCGTCCACAAACCCTCTGTACCCATTTTGGTGATTTTAAGTGGGGTCATCTGTCCACTAAATTAATCAGATCTTAGGCTGGTCACACTTCTGAAATTGTACACCAAGTTTGTGTGTAAGGGTACTTTTCGAACAGGGAAAAATATCTATAGATTTCAGCAAGTTATCTTTGGATTTCTAGATATAGGGTCATGTCATCTGCAAACAAAGATAATTTGACATCCTCTCTCCCTATTCGAATACTCTTTATTTCTCTGTCTTGCCTGATTGCCGTGGCCAGAACATCTGATACTATGTTAAATAGGAATGGTGAGGGAGGGCTCCTTGTCTTGTGGAAGTTTTATGGGGCATACTTCCAGCTTTTTCCCATTCAGCATGATATTGGCTGTGGGTTTGTCATATATGGTTCTTATTATTTTGAGGTATTTTTTTCAGTACCTGGTTTATTAAGAGCTTTTAATATAAGCGGATGTTGAATTTTATCAAAGGCCTTTACTGCATCCATTGAGATAATCATGTGGTTTTTATCATTAGTTCTGTTTATGTGACGAATTACATTCATTGATTTGCCTATTCTGAAATGACCCTGCATCCTGGGGATGAAGCCAACTTGATCATGGTGAATAAGCTTTTTGATGTGCTGCTGGATTCAGTTTTCCAGTATTTTATTGAGGATATTTGCATCGATGTTCATGAGGAATACTGGCCTGAAGTTTTCTTTTTTTGTTGTATCTCTGCCAGATTTTGGTATCAAGATGATGCTAGCCTCGTAAAATGAGTTAGGTAGGAATCCCTCTTTTTCAATTTTTTGGAATACTTTCAGTAGAAGTAGTACCAGCTCTTCTTGGTACCTCTGGTAGTCAGGAGCATATTCTTGGGTTATCCTTTGATGAAAACAGCTTTTAGTTAACCTACAATACTCTTGAATTTCATGTTTTATCTACCATCAACATTGCAAAGCATGCCCTACCCCTGCCTGACTCCAAGATCAACATGTTGGAAAAAAAGATTTATCATCACTCAACATACACGATGCTCTCAGAAAAGGCAAGTTGATTTTAATCTAGTCTCAGTGAAACAAAGGAAGGTAAAATACAAGGTGTTATCCAAAGTCACACATGGCACACTCATGATTAATCAGAATGCTTGGGGAATTAAGCATATAGATAAATATAGACAGTGATGCATATAGATATAACGACATCTGTATATATCTATATGATATACCTAATGATACATATAGATAGTGAAGGGTAAGATAGATTGAAAAGGTAAATGTTCCCACCATGTCTGGGAACACCATGTGTGGGAACATTTACCTTTTCAATCTATCCTACCCTTCACTATCTATACGTATCATCTAATAAAGTATTAATCAGTATTTGTTAATACGTAGCTTTAAAGCACTGAAGGATAAGAAAGACTTTTTTTTTGTCCCCTAACAAGGGCTGAGACAAAATGATGCATACTTCATTAGAGAGATAATCATGTGTTTATTCCTTCAGTTGATAAAAACCACTCATTCCCCAAACATTCTGATTAATCATGACTGTACCATGTTTGACTTTGGATAACAACTTGTATTTTACCTTCCCTTGTTTCACTGAGACTAGATTAAAATTAGCTTGCCTCTTCTGAGAGCATCGCGTGTGTTGAGTGATGATAAATCTTTGACCTGTGACTAAAACTTTATATTAACTATATAAATGGATGTCTGTGTATGCATATGAAGACTGTGACTTTGCAATGGTTGGATTTGACCTTAATGGAATATTTTCACTGATTTTTTCAGTAAATGAGGGGTGATGAAGTAAATCAAGTTGCAACAGGGCTTCAAAGCAAAAAGAAACATTCCAGAAAATCCAAGAGACACTCTTCATCTAAGAGAAGGAAGAGTATGTCCCTGTGACTAGACAAACAGGAAGGTGTAGGGGAATGCAATCTCTGGGCCTCAACCATGTCAAAGGACATTTGTAGTCATGTCCTTGAGGGATGAACAGATATGAGCACATTTGCAAGTGGAAGGGCAAGATTCTAATTAGGTGCAACAATTTGGAGTTGCTGCGTTAGATGAATGAAGCAGGTTCCTGGGGCAGAAGGGGATGGTGGGCTCAACAAGAGGATGTGTCTGCTCACTTTCTGCCTGTCTTCACACTCCGCTCTAACCCAGTGCAGTCTGGCTTCTTAGTGTACTCCATGAAACTACTATCATCAAGGTCACCAGTGTTTGCTGCATTTTGGCATTAATGTCTCAACAACATGTGACACAGTTGTTTACTTCCTCCCGCACGGAAAGCTTCTTGGGGTCCCGAGACACCTGGATTTGTTACCCTGTTACTAGAGACTCGTTTTCCTTCTCCTTTTTGTATTTCTCCTCTGCCTTCCCACTTCTAAATATTTCACATATTTAGCATGATCCTAGGCTCTCTTCCCTTCAATATACTATCTCCTTAGGTGATGCCATGCTGTCTTAGAATTTTAAATGATTCACACTAAAAAAACTCTCACCATTATACTTCTAGACTACAACTTGCTCCTGAAATCCAGATTCAAATGCAGCTACACACGTGGTATCTCTACTAGCTGTCTAATAGGCATCTAAAATTCAACTGGCCCTACATGTTCAAATTTCTGACCTCCCTCTCTCCAAAAATACTCTACTTTTAGTCTTCACGATTTCAGTTAAAGATACTGTCCATTAAGTGAAACATCCACAAAAGTATAACAACCAGATGTTCACAGGTATGGGGGATTTAGAAGTCCTGGTTTTTAGAGTTTGCAGCTATCCATAGTGCATATAATCCCACCATGGCCTAGTTCAAACTCTCAACATAAGGTCACTGAAGCAGATTCAGGAAGAGTTGGCAGCACTCGGCTCTCATAGTCAGTTCCCTAACACCTCCTGAACACCCCTGATGTACTTTTACTTAGTAGTTCAAGTCAAAATACTTAAAGTCACTTATGAGTTATCTTATGATTCTTTTATTACTCTCTCATTTCCCATCTCTTAGCAAGTCCAGCAGTCAGTGCCCAGTATAAATTCTGCATCCAACCATTTCTCTCTACCCCTCCAGTGCACACTGCCATGATCTCTCTCCAAGCTAGTAGAATACCTTCTTAGTTCTGTTTTTCTAATCTTCACTCATCTATCACATACTCTCTAACCCTGTGGCCAGATAATTATGTCAGTTATCACATAACTGTGTAAATCACATCATGCCATGTCCCTCCTGAAAACCCATCCTCAACTCTCCTAAGCACTCAGAACAGACCCTGAACTGACTTTGGTCTGCAAGCCTCTCTGCACGACCTGGCCTCTATTACCCTCTCCTAACACAGGTCCCATCCATTTCCTCCTGGCTCTCTCTGCCTCTGTCCTTCAGCTCTGTAGTGCCCTGTCCATCCCCACTCCATCCCCTATCTTTGGCCTCACCGCAGCCTGGAACTCTCCCTCTGCCTCTGCACAGGAGGCTCTGCTTCTTCTCCAAGGCCTGCCCAGTGGCACCTCTTCAGAAGGCACTGTCAAACCAGCAGTCTCCCCTGAGGCTCCCTCTGCTGCTGTCTCCCATAGGCCTGTGGACTGCTTCCCCAACACCAGCCCAGTGCTGCTTGTTTCATTTGCTCATTGTGCATGTACTGTCTGACTGCCCCATGAGGATGTGAGCTCCACAAGGGCAGGCAACGTTGCTCTCTGGGCTGTTTACTGCTGATCCCCAGCTCCTGGCATGCTGCCTATCACAGATGATGAATAAATGAAAGAGATGTCAGACCTGGAGTGAAAAGAAAGTCACTTTTTCTAGAAAAAAGGGAAGGATCTGTAGAATCATATAAAAACACAGATGTGTGATGATTGAGTGGAGATAAGAGTGTTCAACTCCAATAGCCACCTCTATTTTCTCAGAATATTTGAGGTAGAAAGGAGGCAAGTTAAGGAGGGCTCACTTAGTCTGGCTTCCTGCTGCACACAGCATGGCATTTATAGGTGAACTGTACAAATAATATCAAATGAGAAATGTAAAGGACAGCAAGATGACACAAAATGATGAGTACAAAAACCTGTGAATGTTTATTCTGCTGTCGCACTTCTTTACTGCACGTGTTCATTATGCCAAGAGGTAAGAAGCTAGTTTTATTGTATTACCTACCTGATCTCTATTTGCAAGATCTGAGATTTCCACGTGGTAAATCCTTCTGTTTCATGAAATAAATAATTCCCTAGAAACTGATGAATACATAGCTGTCCCTCTGGGGGAGGATGGGACAAAACACACATCTTGCAGCTCAACCTCTTCATTTGGTTTCCAGATGCTAGCGTCACTCACAATGTCCGTGAAGAGAAGATAAAAAATGGCCAACTAGCACCCGGTAATGTCGCGACAACAGTCCCACCAGCGTTTATTAATATGGCAACAGCTGATATTTCATACATGAGTATCAGGGATCAGTGTAATTTTGCTCTCATGTTATACTGTTCTACTTGGTTTCCACTATGCACTATATACATAGTGTCATGAGGGAAGAAGGTAATTTTGTTGTTTTATCTTTTCTGGCCTCAATTTTAGGGTTCTCAGATTGCTAACTGGTGTATCCTCTTTCTTCATGAGATGATTTCCTAGATACTGAGCATCAGGGGGGTATGCCTGTGCAGCTGACATAATGCACTTACCTCACAGCTCAACCACCTCATTTGGTTTCCAGATGCTGCAGTCACTCACAACATCTGTGAAGAGAAGATAAATAACAGTCAACCAGCACCTGATAATGCCTTGCCGACTGCTCCACCATGGCTTGGTAATATGGCAGCAGCTGGAGTTTCATCCACGAGCACGAGAGATCTGTGTATGTCTGCTTATTATTTGGACTTATCCTACTTGGTTTCCATAAGCAGGCATATTTTCATGAACGGTGGTAGGTGGTTTTGTAGTATATTCTTTCCTAGCCTCAATTTGAGGGGTATCAGATGGCCACCTGGCATATCCTTCCCTGCTTTTTTAGATAATTTCCTAGAAACTGGGCATCAGACAGATAGGCCTGTGGAGCTGACATAATGCACTTACCTTACAGCTCAACCTCTTCACTTGGTTTCCGCATGCTACCGTCAATCCCAATGTCCATGAAGAGAGGAAGGAAAATGGTCAACTGCAAACGGATAACATCTTGTCAAATGTTCTATCAGGGCTGATTAATATAGCAGAAGCTGGTATTCCAGCGATGAGTACCAGGGATCTGTGTATGTTTGTTTATTAATTGTAGTGTCCTTGGCTTCCACATGCAAGTGTAGTGTCATGAAGGGAAGAAGGTTGTTTTGTTGAATTATTTTTCCTGGCCCCAATTTTAGGGGACTCAGATCATTACATGATGTATTCTCCTGCTTTATTGGATAATTTCCTAGAAACTGAGCATCAGTGGGATATACCGGTGAGGTTTTCATAATGCACTTACCTCACAGCTCAACCTGTTCCATTGGTTTCCAGATGTTACCATCACTCACAATGTACGTGAAGAGAGGATGGAAAACTACCAACCCCAAACTGATAATGTCTTGTCAACTGTTCCACCACAGCTTGGTCATATGGCTGCAGCTCCATCCACGAGTATCAGGGATCTGTGTACGTCTGCTAATTAGTTGTACTGTCATACTTGTTTTCGATAAGCATGCATATTTTCGTGAAGGGTAGAAGTCAGTTTTGTTGTATATTCTTTCCTATCCTCAATTTGAGAGGTCTCAGATGGTCACCTGGCATATCCTCCCCTGCTTTTCTTGATAATTTCCTAGAAACTGAGCATCAGAAGGATATATCTGTGGGACTGATAATGCGCTTACCTTACAGCTCAACCTCTTCGTTTGGTTTCCAGATTGTACTGAGGGGAAGAAGGTGGTATTGTTGTATATTCTTTACTAGTCTCAATTTGATGGGTCTCAGATGGCCACTTGACATATCCTCCCTGCTTTCTTAGATAATTTCCTAGAAACTGAACATCAGAAGGATATACGTGAGTGGTTACCATAATACACGTACCTCACAGCTCAACCTCTTCATTTGGTTTCCAGATGCTACAGTCACCTTCACTGTCCCTGAAGAGAAGATGGAAAATGGCCAACCCCAATCTGATAATGTCTTGTCAACTGCTCCAACAGGGCTTATTAATATGGCAGGAGCTGTTATTCCAGCCATGAGTACCAGTGATCTGGGTATGTTCACTTATAAATTGGATTGTCCTACTTGGTTTCCATATGCATGCATATTGTCATGAAGAGGAGATGGAGGTTTTGTTGTATTATCTTTCGTGCGCTCAATTTGAGGGATGTCAGATCACCAACTGTGATGTCCTCTGGCTTTATGCAATAATTTCTTAGAAGCTGAGCATCATAGGGGTATACCTGTGGGGTTGACATAATGCACTTCCTCACAGCTCACTCTCTTCATTTGTTTTCCAGATTCCACTGTCACTCACAATGTCCATGAAGAGAAGATGGAAAATGACCAACCCCAACCTAATAACATGTTGTCAACTGTTCAACCAGTGGTTATTACTTGGCAGCAACTGGTATTCTGGGCATGAGTACCAGGGATCAGTGTATGTTTGTTTACTAGTTGTAGTGTCCTACTTGGTTTCCATATTCATGCATATTGTCATCAAGGGAAGAAGGTGGTATTGTCGTATTATGTTTTCTGGCCTCAATTTGAGGGTTCTCAGAGGGCTCCCTAGTATATCCTAGTTCTTTATGAGATAAATTCCTAGATATTCAGCATCAGAGGGGTATCCCTGTGGGATTGACGTACTGCACTTACCTCAGAGCTCATCCACTACGTTTGTTTTCCAGATGCTAGCGTCACTCACAATGTCCGTGAAGAGAAGATAAATAACAGCCAACCAGTCCCGATAACGTCTTGTCAACTCTTACACCAGGGCTTATTAATTTGGCAGGAGCTGGTATTCCACCCCTGAGTGCCAGGGATCAGTGTATGTTTGTTTACTAGTTGTACTATCCTACTTCTTTTCCATATGCATGCAGTGTCATAAATGGAAGAATGTAGTTTTATTGTATTGTCTTTCATGAGCTGAATTTGTGGGGTCTCAGATCACCACCTGGTATATCCTCCTGCTTTATGTGATAATTTCCTAGAAACTGAGCCTCAGAGGTATATACCTGTCGGGTTGGCAAAATGCACTTACCTTACAACTCGACCGCTTCATTTGGTTTTCAGTTGCCACCATCAATCACGATGTCCATAGAGAGAGGATCCAAAATGGCCAACTGCAACAGGATAATGTCTTGTCAAATGTTCTATCTGGGCTTATTAATATGGCAGGAACTGGTATTCCTGCAGTGAGTAACAGGGATCTGTGTAGGTTTGTTTTCTTCTTGCACTGTCCTTCTTGGTTTCCATATGCATGCATAGTGTCATGAAGGGAAGAAGGTTGTTTTGTGAATTATCTTTCCTGACCTCAACTTGAGGGGCCTCGGATCATCATATGATGTATTATCCTGCTTTATGGGATAATTTTCTAGAAACTGATCATCAGTGGGATATACCAATGGGATTGACATAATGCACTTACATCACAGCTTGACCTCTTCCTTTTGTTTCCAGATGCTACTATCACACACAATGTCCATGAAGAGACGATGGAAAATGGCCAATGCCAAACTGATAATGTCAAGTCAACTGTTCCACTGCAGCTTGTTCATATGGCAGCAGCTGGTATTCCATCCATGAATAGCAGGGATCTGTGTATGTCTATTAATTAGTTGTACTGTCACACTTGATTTCCATATGCATACATATTTTCATGAAGGGTAGAAGGTGGTTTTGTAGTATATTCGTTCCTAGCCTCCATTTGAGGGGTCTCAGTTGGCCACCTGGCATAGCCTCCCCTGCTTTCTTAGATAACTTCCTAGAAACTGAGCATCAGAGGTATATACCTGTAGGGCTGACAAAATGCACTTACCTCACAGCTCAACCTCTTCATGTGGTTTCCAGATTTTACCATCACTCACAATGTCTGTGGAGAAAAAACAAAAATTGACCAAACAGCACCTGATACATTCTTGTCAACTGTTACATCAGGGCTTATGAATTTCACAGGAGCTGGCATTCCATCCAAGAGTACCAGGGATCAGTGCATGTTTGTTTAGTAGTTGTACTGTCCTACTTGGTTTCCATACACATGCAGTGTCATGCAGGGAAGATGTTGGTTTTGTCATATTATCTTTTCTAGCCTAAATTTGAGGGGTCTCAGATCACCACCTGTGTTATGGAACAATTTCTTAGAAACTGAGTCTCAGAGGGATATACCTGTGGCATTGACATAATGCAGTTACTTCACATCTCGACCTCTTCCTTTGGCTTTCAGATGCTACCGTCACTCAAAATGTCCATGAAGAGAGGATGGAAAATAACCATTACCTAATAACGTCTTGTCAACTCTTCTACCAGGACTTACTTATTTGGCAATAGCTGGTATTCCACCCATGAGTACCAGGGATCAGTGTATGTTTGCTTATTCAGTTGTACTGTCCTACTTGGTTTTCTCAGATTGCTAACTGATATATCCTCCTTCTTTGTGAGATAATTTCCTAGACACTGAGCATCAGAGGGATATGCCTCTTTGGTTGATATAATGCACTTACCTCACAGCTCAACCACTTCATTTGGTTTCCAGCTCAACCACTTCATTTGGTTTCCAGATGTTGCAGTCATTCACAACGTCTGTGAAGAGAAGATAAATAACGATCAACCAGTCCCTGATAACGTCCCATCAACTGCTCCACCATGGCTTGGTAATATGGCAGCAGCTGGAATTTCATCCATGAGTACCAGGGATCTGTGTATGTCTACTTATTAGTTGTACTGTCCTATTTGGTTTCTCTAAGCAGGCATATTTTCATGAATGGTAGAAGGTAATTTTTTTGTATATTCTTTCCTAGCCTCAATTTGAGGGGTATCAGATGGCCACCTGGCTTATCCTCCCCTGCTTTCTTTGATAATTTCCCAGAAATTGAGCATCAGATGAGTATATCTGTGGGGCTGACATAATGCACTTACTTCACAGCTCAACCTCTGCATTTGGTTTCCAGATGCTATCGCCAATCCCAGTGTCCATGAAGAGAGGATGGAAAATAGCCAACCGCAACCAGATAACGTCTTGTCAAATGTTCTATCAGGGCTTACTAATATGGCAGGAGCTGGTATTCTGGCCATGAGCACCAGAGATCTGTGTATGTTCAGTTTTTAATTGAATTTTCCTACTTGGTTTCCATATGCATGCATAGTGTCATGAAGGGGAGAAGGTGGTTTTGTTGTATCATATTTCTTAAGCTCTATTTGAGGAGTCTCAGAATACCACCTGTCATGTCCTCTTGCTCTATGCAATAATTTCTTAGAAGCTGAGCGTCAGTGGGATATACCTGTGGGTTGAAATAAGGCACTTACTTCACAGCCAGCCCTAAATCATACTTCATGCTATTTCCACAGGCATTTAAGTTTGTATTATCTTATTCTCACACTTTCTTCCAATGCCATGGAGCCTTCCAAATTTATCATAATCTGGGAGTGGATGTGGGCCCTCAGTTGACTCACTTTGTATTTTTCTAGTTTGTATCTTTCCATGAGGATGCATTTTCTATTTGCATGTAGATGGTAAATTCTGTTTTGTATCCACTACTACCTCTTACATCTCATAGATGCTGTAGATGCCCTCTGGTTAATGGAATACCTCTTTCATTTCAGGTTTTAAAAAGTTGTCTTAATTCAACAACTCGAGAAGGCACTTAAAGAAATAGATTCCCACTGCCATCTCAGAAAAGTTAAGCATATGAGAAAAAAATAATTGTGTTAGTGCAAAAACCAAGGAGATGCTGTAGGATGGAATAGGTTATTGCTAAAGCTTCCTATAATTTTGAATTGAAGAGAATTCCCTTCCAAATGCTAAGAAAAAAGGAGGGAGCTTTTTATATTTAATAAATCTCTGTTAATAAAAGCCACGCTTTTGTTTGTTTGTTTGTTCTTCTGCCTGAGGAGGGGCATGAGTTAATAACTCACCAAGGTATTTAGTATTACAGTCCTGATTTCTGCAGCAGCTCACATTGTTGTAGCTGGAATTTCTCTCCATTTCTCATTCCCTTTGCCCTGAGATAGCATGTCAGCTGGTCATGATGCTTGGTCTGGCAGGATGGCTCAAACCTTCATTACTGAACAGTCTGGATCATTAGATATCCTGCCTGGATTGGGTTGCTGTAATTTCCCGTTAAGTGTAATAAACATGGGAGCACTAAGAAGCTCTCTAGATGTATCAGACGTACTCTTTTTTAGCCCCTGGTGTAGTGCAATTAATCCCCCTTTGGTCATCAGGTTTGTCACCCCAGCCAGTAGATGACCCCCTCCTTTGCCTCTAGATGGAAGATGCTGAAGAGACCAAAATGGCCAGGTGGCAGCATCAATCTGTTTTCAATGGAGTCACTGTTGTGTCCCTTGTTGAAAGCATTTCTTCCTTTGGAACTAAGACTTCTAGTTCAGGAGAGCCTAAAGTAGGAAGGACAGGAAGCATTTATTCTATTGGATCACTGAGGTGAATAGTGAGTAGGGACACTCCCAGTTATACCCCTTCATTCTAAGACTAATGAATCCTGACAACTGGAGAAAAAGCAGGCTATGTTGGATGCAGATATACAGCAAACACTGCTTCCTAAAAGTAATTTCTTAGACCTGCAAGGTATTGCCACCTAGTTAGCAGTGTAACTGAGTTGTACAAGGTCATTCCACGTTTCTGTTGATCCAATCACTTTAACATAATGGGGGACACTTTGGGAGGCTGATTTGGAATAAAAAAACTATGAGGCCAAGGCAGTATCGTGTCTTTAAAAAGATGATGGGGGATAGGGAGATATAAATAATAAGACCAGTGATTTCTCATGAGCATGGGGCCATAACTGCACTTTATTTTCTGGAAAGTGAGTGCCTTGTTTGGAGGTGATGCTGTGTGGGATACCATGATGGTAAATAAAGCATTTTCTAAGTGCACAAATGTTTATTTTCTGAAATTACTGTGGATGGGAAGGAAGATCCATATTCAGAATAAGTGTCTATTTGAGCAAGAACACAGTCCTGTCCCTTCCATAGTATAAGTGGTCCAGTGTAATCACCTGCCATCCGGTAACTGGCTAATCACACTGGAGACAGGTGCCATATAAGAGACTCAGTGTTGCCCTCTGTTCTAGAAGATTGTACTCTCAGCAATGACTATGTTGCAGAATTTTGCTTCTTAGTTCAACTAAAACTGAGTTCTTGTCACACGACCAGGAAAGATTAGGTTCGGGGACACATTGAAGGGTGAGGAGCTGAATTTATTGGTTGAAAAGGAAAAATGGGAAGGAAAAAAAAAACTCTCAGCAAAGCGAGAGGGAGTCCTGCTAACAGGCCCCCACCTCACAGATTGATTCTGGACCGCCACACAGGAACCAAAGAGACCAGGCTTCCCACCACCACCCCTGCACAAGACGCAAACTTCCCTTGGCCCCACACCCTTCTCCCAGTACACATGTCGCCATTATGAAGAAAGAATCAGCTGGGAAAAGGCTAGCAAACAGTGCCAGTTCTTCTTCTGGGTGTGGGTTTCATTCGGGAGCAGCAGTCGAGTTTCTCAACTTTCAGGCCGTTTTAGGCTTGAAGAAGGGGTTTCACCCAGGACCCTTGGCTGTCTCATGTCTCTATCAACTGTAGCCAGGTTGGCCTTGGTGAATGGAAGTCCATGCTACTGAAGCATAATCTCTATACCTGTCACCTTGGCCACTTTGTGAGCTCATGGGCTTATGACACCAGTGTTGGGGAAAGAGGCTGATTAATATCTAGATAATAGGTACTTTATCCTTCAGATTATTAAAATTCTGCTCTACTGAGGTTACCCTTTGCCGAGAACTCTCATGAGACCTAAGTATCTTCACATTGTATATCCATTTGGACTAGTCTGTCCACATATTTTTTCCCAGACCTCCTTGTCACAAATTTCCAATCACGTGTCCACAAAGTCCTCGAACATACAGCCAATAAAGGAGACACCGCCTATACATGGATACATACTGATAGGTCTGGCCATCTCTCCTCCACACAGGAGCACTGCTCAAACATCTTCCCTCTGGGAGGATTTCCCTTCCCCACTGTCCTTCAGAGCTGTCCCAGTTGGGCCTGTCGTAATGAAGCTGTCCACTTCTGGCTTTTGTGGTAGGCAGGCATTATGAACAGACTGAATATTTGTGTCCTCTGAGAATTCATAGGATGAAACCCTAACTCCCAATGGGACGATATTTGGAGGTGGAGCCTTTCGGAGGTAATTAGCTTTAGATGTGATCATGATGTTTGGGTCCCTATGATGAGATTAGTGCCCTTATAATTAGAGAAAAGGGAATTTGTTCTTCCATGCTTCTTCAAAATGTGAGGATGCAGCAAGGTGGCTGATTGCAAGCCAGGAAGAGGAACCTCACCAGAATTTGAGCATGCCGGCACCCTGATCTTGGACTTCTAGCCTCCAGATCCGTGAGAAAGAAATGTCTGGTGATGAAGCCATTCAGTCTGTGGTATTCTGTGATAGCAGCTCAAGCTGAGACAGCTGTAGTCTGATTCCCCAGACTCCCCTCTCCTGTATACTCGATCAAGCACTAATCCAAGTACTGCTATGGTTGGATTTTGCTGGATAATTAATGTCTCAAGTCAGTTGAGCCTGAGACATGAATGTGGTGCGGTTGGGCCAGACCTGGCAGGGTAATCCTTGAGAAGTACAGCATTTTCCTTACCAAGGAGCAGAAGAAGAGGTAAGAGAGTCAAAGCACAAGAAGGATGTGACACAGCAGGCCTGCTTTGAGGGTAAAGCCATGCTCCCAAGAAGGTATAGAGTGGCCCTAGGTGTTTAGTGCAGTTTCTGGATGACCGCCAGCAAAGAAATGGGAGCCACATTCCTACCACCTTAAGAAACTAGATCTAAATGAGCTATAACATGAATAAGCTTAGAAGTGGATTACTCTGCAGTCTCCACATCAGCATCCAACCGGCCTGACATTTTGAGTTGGCCTTGGGGGACACCCAGCAGAGACGCCGGTTGAGCCTTCCTGGTCTTGACTTGCAGAAGTGTGGATAATAAATATGCGTTGTTTTAGGCTGCCCAATTTGAGGTAATTTGTTATGTGGCAATAGAAAACTAATACACGTGCTGCCAGCCCATTATAAAGAAAGAATAGTAAGTAAGCCAGGCCTAGGGATTTTTTTATTGTTTGCTTTTGAGACAACTCTGTTCATAAGGGACCTCCCTTGGAGCCATCAGAGTGGGTTCAGAGCACTTTTTCTTTTTCTAGGTCAAACTCAGAAGTAGCAGATTTTCCAGTCATTAGCAGGTAAGTCACAGCAGCACACCTCAATGAGGTACATGTTACCATAATCAGAACCTAAGGAGGCCTACTATTTTGCCTGTCCCCTTTGAGTGGCAGGAAGGGTGAGATGTACCAACTTGCCGTTCACCTGATAAATACTATGCTGACATGCCTCTGAGCACTTGACCACTAAATATTTTACTAAGTAAAAGGCCCCTGATTTTTTTTTGTGCAAATTGATACTTTGATTGTCATGTCAGTATGTTATCAGTGTGTCTAGAGCAGTTGCTAGGTCCTGCCCAATCAACATAATGTCATCAATGCAAAGTAATGGTGTCACATGGTGGGAAGGAAAGGAGATCAAGATCCCTAAGGACTAGTTTGGGACATAAGTTTATGATGCAGGATGCTTTCCTGACTCCTTCACAGGACTCATGACAGAGGTGCCCAGCCACTTTGGCACCAGCAGGAGCAAACACCTTTTCCTTGGGTCCGCTGCACCCCATCCCTCATGGGAGGCAGCACATAGGCAAGTGAGTGTGGTAACTGGCCAGTTGCTTTGGCACTGGCAGGAGCAAACTCCGTGCAGGCACTATGGCACCATCCGGGTAGGACTGCCTGCAACCCCAAGGCCTGAGAGTGCGTGTTACAATGCTCTCTTAGCTCCGCCATCCACGGACAGCAGTGTATTATCAGCTTAGTGGGACCTTTGCCTCATTGCGGGGGTGGCTGCAAAGGCAAAGGGCCAGTGTGACAGCCTTTTTGGGTACCAATACTCGGTGGGTCCGAAATTCTTGTCTGGTACCCAAGAAGAATGAGGTCACGCAGACTAATCGAAGGATGGTGAGTGCAGAGAATTTTATTGTGCGATGAAAGTAGC